GATCTGCACTCAAAAATGCAGCCTATGTGGAGTAGTCGAACACAGATCCACTGATCCTTCAACACAGAGCATCTTCAGAAGACAAGTTGATAAAGCAAATTTTTTAAATCTGAATTTTGACCAGCTGGATATTCATACATATATTTATTAATCAGAACTGTAAACTACAATAATTTTAACATTCGTAAAATCAAATTAAAAAATACAAATTATGTCATGTCACAAAGAATTGTTTAATGAGTTTATTTTTATCACAAAGTTAAATTCTTCAGTTTCACAATGATGCAGGCTGTATCTGAAGCTGACCCACAGCTGGCACATGTTTTTTTTTCTCCTTTTTCTCTGGAAATGTTGAAAAACAAATACTGGATGTAGAAAATATCTGAATAAACTGGCCTGTCTGACAATGTGACTATTTAGTTTATGATGCTCAATCATTACATTAGTGTCTGTCATTAGCGAGTCTACATCATAATTTCTGAATTTATATGTAGTCTAACTAGTCAACAATTCAATGAAGTCCATATTTACATGTTTAATATCAGTAAATAATATATTTGACAACAGATAAAATCAATTTTAGATATGGTTAAACATGAAGATTGAAGCTGTTTAATGTTAGCATACAGGTTTTAAAATTAAAATAATTAATTTTGGTTAAATATGTGTAATATTTACCTGTGAAACATAACCCTTTTATCTCTTGTAAACATGTTGTAACAATTTCTGCAGTTTATAGCAAACTATTTGTACCATTTGTACATTTATAAAGCATTTGTTTGCACCGCGCTACGTTCTGCTCATTGATTTAAATGGRTAGCGTTAGCATTAGCTCAATGCATAAAAATCCCCCTTGTGAAGCACGCCCAGGTCACGTGACGCCCAATCCAGTAATATATATTGATGGGGGCAAGTGAGTGAAAATGGTTRTGAATGAACCGAGTCAATGATGTCTGAGTGGATCCAGGTCCAGAGTCAGGTAATGGTGGCAAGAAGTTCGTTAAATCAAATTTAGCTTCATTAGCTGGTAACAAATTAACAGACATCAAAAAGGAACCTAGAAGTTGAAGCTATAACGGCACCAAGAGGCTGGTCTCAATACAAGTTTTAAGWCCCTGCTCCAATAAACTGGCCCATGTTGTGTCCATTCGGTCCAGAACTCTTCTGAGGGTCAGGCTGTAAACTCATGTGAAGCACTTTGAATTTAACTTTTTCATACAAGTTTTCAATTAAAATAAGGTTGATTTGATTTTCAGGGAAACCCCGGAAGACCAGGCCCACCGGGACCAACAGGGCCACAGGGACAAGGAGTTCAAGGACCAAAGGTGAACCATCATTTATTCCCCTTTTTAAYTTTGAAATAAATCATTTCAGTCTATTCTGAGAGGTTCTTTTAAATAAACTGTTTTCTGTGTTTCAGGGTGAACAGGGGTCCCAGGGTGTGTTAGGACCCAGGGGGTTACCTGGAGAGGGCTTCCCTGGACCTAAAGTCAGTCCACATACTGGATTTAACTTTTAAATGTGGATTTTGGGGAGTTTTTAACGACCCGCTCGTGGCTGTTTTGCTTCGTGTTGTGTGACAGGGTGATCGAGGCTCATCGGGGGAGAGGGGGCTCAAAGGGATCAAAGGAGACATGGGGGACCCTGGAACTCCAGGACAACAAGTGAGCGACACTAATGAGGCGTTTCTTAATGTCTGCTTGTTGTGCTTTGCTTTATAAGGACCAGACCTGAGTTTTTTCAGCCACTGTTGGTCGAGTTGATTAAATGAAAATATTGTTTTTGATCTCAGGGCCGAGCAGGCGTGAAGGGGGAAGCAGGCCTCACCGTGAGTCTGGWTTTTTTTTTTTTTTTGTCATTGAGGTTTTTCTTGTGTTTATTGATGTTCTCATTTTCTCCTACATGTATTTATTTCAGAGAGAGGACATCATCCGAATGATCAAAGAAATCTGCGGTAAAGTATCGTCTGGTCTTTGTCGTATTTATTTCACTTGTCTGTATCGACTAGACGGCACTAATGTTCCAGGAGGCGGTTCAGTTCCTGTCCTGTCTTATCTGCAGATCCTTAGATCTGATTTCACTGCTGAGCCTCGTCAAAGTGACAATTCAGCTATGAGCTCACGCACAGCTGTGATGTGATTCCAGGATGTGGGGTCAAGTGCAAGGAGAGGCCCATGGAGCTGGTGTTTGTCATCGACAGCTCAGAGAGCGTCGGCCCAGAGAACTTCGAAATCATCAAGGACTTTGTGACCGCGCTGGTGGACCGGGTCACGGTGGGCCGCAACGCCACCAGGATCGGTTTGATTCTGTACAGCCTGGAGGTGAAGCTGGTGTTCAACCTGGCCCGCTATGTCTCCAAAGAGGACATCAAGCTGGCCGTCAGGAACATCCCGTACATTGGCGAGGGGACGTACACCGGTACTGCCATTCGCAAAGCCACACAGGAGGCCTTCTACAGCTCGCGSCTGGGGGTCAGCAAGGTGGCCATCGTCATCACCGACGGGCAGACAGACAAACGGGAGCCTGTCAAGCTGGATCTGGCGGTGCGAGAAGCACACGCCGCCAACATTGAGATGTTCGCCCTGGGGATCGTGAACACCTCGGACCCGACGCAGGCAGACTTCCTGAGGGAGCTGAATCTGATCGCCTCCGACCCAGACAGCGAGCACATGTTCCTCATTGACGACTTCAACACTCTCCCAGGTATGGTACACTTTCAGCTTCGCTGATATTTCAAACATCAGAGGGAAAGAAAACAGAGTAAAAACCATCTGCTGAAACGTGTGACTAAATGTGAATGAATAGAATAACGAGCCAAACCAAAGTGGGAAAAAACTCTTTGTGGTTATTTTTACACCAATTAATGGTACCTTCTAGTTATTGATAATACAATTTGATATTTGTATGGAAAAGCTTTCCTCCAAACTTTAAATAATAACTGATTTATAAAGTGAGATTTAAGTCTTGGCTAATCTTTAAGAAGATGTTGGCATAAATGTACTGTAGGTTTTACAGGAAATCRAACAAAAAGGTTGTGGTAAACTATAAAGTATAAGTTAGATAAGAATCTTTTTACTACTCTATGATACTTTAGTACACCTTTATACCACTCTGTGATAAATTAGTACACTAAAACACTACAGTATGATAATACACTATAATACTACTTTTTAGTTCTGTAATACATAATAATACACTGATGCTGTAGTACAATATAATACTACTCCATGGTAAAACAACTTTATAACTCTGTCATTTCTTTTTGGAACTGAAATTTTCTATTACATTTTTTATCAGCAGGGTAATGCACCATCCATACATCAAATTCAATCAATACAAAAAATAACTGAGCACACTGGAAGCACCTTCGACAGAGTATACATTTCAGCACATCATTTTACAGTTTTTTGTGGTTTCAGCATTACCATACAACCAAAAAGACACTTCACTTTGAGTGACAGAGCAAGGGGACCCCAAACCATGATCAGATTTACCCATTGGACCTTTACGCAGATAAAACTCTACTGGACCCCAGTGTAAACTATAAGTAGGCTTTTGACGTTTCAACAGCTATGTTATATTTTCCATTTGGTAAAGTTCCCTTACTTTTTGACCCAAATGTTATAGGAGGGTGGCTCTAATTGCATCTACTTAATTGTAATGCATTTTAAGGCAGTAAAATGCATATTTAATAAAAACATATGTTTTGGCATACCTGCTGTTATAATACCGAGCAATGTGACTGTTGCATCCTTTGGGATAGCCCCTCCAAAAAATCTGTTTTATGGTCTTGTTCAGCTTATCTCAAATTTTTTGTACTTTAGGGCATGACTCATCTGCCAGTTTGTTTTTTTTCGTGTCGCCCTCTTTTCTACTCATTAGTCTATGGAGGAGTGAACTCTTGCTTCAGGTATTTTTCAGGCGCATGGTCTCGTAACCTCTGCAGAATGAGAGCACTGTAAACAGGCATTTAGCTAGAGGAGATTCTTCAGTTTTCCAACACTTTCATTCAGCTAGCGACTCCTCAGGACACTGTGCTGAACCTTGTGTTCGACGCAAGTTTATTATTTTTTTAACACTACATAAATTTAGTGGGATAGAGTGGGAGATGGATCAATGGATTGGGGCCTCGTCCTCAGTAATGAGGGCGTTGCTTCGGTCAGTTGTGAAGAAAGAGCTGAGTCGAAAGGCAAAGTTCTTGATTTATTGTCTACATTCTACCCCATACTTATGGTCATGAGGCATGGATCATGACAGATCATGTGATCATGGATGGACACATGGATCATGTTTGTGGTATCAGTATATTAGTTTAAAATGCTCTCCAAACAATAATACCATTTATCTCAATCCTTTCTGAGACAATTTATCATCCAGTAAAATTTGTTATCATGACTGGCCTAATAGTGGTTTGATTTCCTTTTTTTCAGTAGGAATATAATACAGTGTTTAAAACATGTTAGTCAATATTGTTTTTGCTAAACAAATGTAATAATTATTGAATAGTGGATAAAAGTGAGAAAAAAAACATTCTAAAGTTGATGTTTCTTTACATATTTTGTAGAATTGTTTGTGGGTTATCAAGGGTGTCTCCATCCAGAAGCTATACTGTTTGGGGGACCATGACATTGAAAAGTTTGAGAAGCCCTGACCTGAAACATGTAAAATTCATCCAATAGTGTTTGGGGCTTTCCCCAAACACCATATATTTTCACAGACCAGAGAACTTTAATCACGTTTTGTCTGTCGTGTCTCAGCTCTTGAATCGAAGCTGGTCAGTCAGTTCTGTGAGGATGAGAACGGAGCCTTGATCTACAACAGAATCACTAACGGCTACAACGGAAACAACGGCTACGGAGGCAATAGGATCAGCAGCGGGAACTACGCCACAGGTGGTTACGGGTACAGGCCTGTGACTCAGCAGGAAATACTGGACGGCCAACAGACTGGCTCCACAGTTGGTACCAGCACTCAGAACCAATGGGGCCAAGCAGAGACCACATTGGACCACAGTAAAGGATCCAGCACTGGACATGTATGTGTCAGCAGATTACAACTATACACAAACACCACACCAAAKTCCACCTAATCTCTGTGTACCCCTCAGCAGGGAGGAGAAGGACAACAAGCAAACACAGGGACTACCAGCTCAGGAACTGAGCGTGGGGACACATTTAACCGCGACACCTCTCCCACCAAAAAGGACTCCTCCAGCAGCAAAAGCTCCTCTTCATCATCCTCATCATCCACATCGTCCTCTACAACATCAACCTCAGGTGGATCCATTCACAACATACCTGGACCAAGACCCCCTCTTCCTAAAGGTACCTAAACAGCTGTCCTACTCTTTTTCTTTTTACTTAAAGGGATCCATAATTAGTTGTAACATTAGACTTTATTTGATAAACATGTATTTTAACTGTAAAATAAAGATTGTAAAAATAATGTAGGCTGTTTAGTTTTGTAAATTTTTAAAAATATATTTTAACACGGACGGAGCCATTTTATTTACACGCAAAGCATTCTGGGTAAATGATGATGTGGATAGGTCATCGTTGCGAGGCTGCTAGCGAGCTATATCCACCCTGAAGGTTAATCTTGGACAATATCTGATGATCGACTCTTTTAAATGAAACCAGAGAGCGTTGACAG